TTTCTTATGCGATATGTGTTATGTAAGAGTTATACTCCCCATCTTATGGCTATTCTACAATAAGTGATTAGCCATAAATCTGAAGTTGGAAATTGATGACTGTGGTCAATTTCCAGCTTCTAACTTCTGATTTATGACTAATAGCTTATTATATAATGCGTATTAAGGCCGCAGCATAAACTTTTGCATAACGCATAACGCATAAGCGAATCAGAATCTTTCCTCCCATGGAAGGGAAAAGAAGAATTTTGATTGGTTGATTTCCTTATGCACTGTGCATTATACGTTATGCAAGAGTCTGTGTGCTGCGGGCATTATGGTCGATATTCATATCTTTATTCAGTCATATCTTATATTCAAGACCGTTTTAGGTCTTACAGCCTTAAGAAGTCACGAATCAATTAGAGGGCTTTAGCGTCTTAAAATATTACTTAGGCTACGTTTCAAAACTTCCTCTCTGAGGAAATTCGAAATATGTAGTACATATAACGTATATTATAGCTATAGAGTAAAATCTTGCTCGGAGAGGAAATTGGAACGTAGCCTTAAAACAGTCTTGAAATAAGAACGGACTATGAATACCACCCTGTCTCCTAAAAAGAAAGCAACAATTTTTTAATATACACTTGCGAATGATTACAAATTTTTCCTCGATAAATTTCGGAAGGCACAAGTATTTTAAAAGTTTCTATCATTCTTCACGAGCATGCGCGCTGAAAGCTATACGAAGCCATCGAAGTTTTCTGTGCGCGAATATATAAAACTTTGTATATGTATTGTACGATTATAAAATATTTTGAAACATTATTTTTTACGATTAAAAAAGTGTCAAAATTATTAGGAGGATAATTGTATTTAAACAAAAAAATTATTTGAATTAGAATTTCACTTAATTAACGTGTAAAAAATTTTGATTTCTTCGATGTCGCATTGATCAGAAAAGTGCATAAAAATAACATAGCCAATAAAAACATTGTTATATAATATTTTATTGTTTAATGTTTGAAAATCCAATTACAAATTATCGTCATATCGCTTTATAAAGATTTAATGGAAACTCTCAGAAGATTTCACAAGATTACGCTAGATGGCAGCATCATGTTTAAATTGAACATTACTAAAAATATGAATCTCCTTATTTTAGATAAATACACATCAACATGCTATTAATAAATATTAATGTCTCATATATTCATATTGAAAAAAGTATATGCAATATATTTTTACATATATGAATACATTAGTGATCGCTGCAATATACATATACGATAAAAATTGCATGCATTACATATTTATATTGATGTATAAAATATATAATGAAATAGCATAATAAACATAATAACATAATAACATATCACGTATAATAAAAATATATGAATATATATTTGCGTATGTATATATCTTCATGTGTATATATGATATATACATATATGATATATACATGAAAATATAATATATGATTTATAAGAAGACAGAATAATTATTTTTCGTTTTAGTTTAACGCACGAAACTCCAAGATAAGATCAGAAAAGAAAGCCTGATAAGTTCGAGCGTAACATTACAATAACGTACATGAACTGAAACATAATAATAATTTAAAGAGTTATCATGAAAATAGACTAATAATAAAGTTCCTTAAATTTTTAATATTCATTTACGAGGTTTTGAATTTAATTAGCGTGAATGATCTCGCTCATTTTATTAACAGCTTCATGCTAAAAACACGAAGATAGCATTATCTTGCAGTAAATAAGATGACCCTGAGGATTAATGAAGCTGATGCTTGAAGCTTAGAGTTCTTAGGTCTAGGAAAAGATCCATTAAGAGAAAAACGGTTCAGTTTTTTCTTTTCTTTAATGGATATTTATTTTCCCTACCGTTCTCATTTTCTTCCTTATTTTTTTATTCTTATATTTCGATATATAGAAAGAAAACTTATATTTATTTCAGACTTTGAATTTTTTTCGAAAATGAAATGAATCTCTTCACTTATATATAATAATTTTCTTCGTTGAATCTCTTCACTTAAATATAATAATTCATTGGGATTATTTAAAAAACGGGGTATTTCAATTTTAAATCTGAAGAATCAATTTAATAGAATAGACCCATTAATTAATAGCTTCGCGTTTAATGGCTTTATGTTGGAAATCTTTCAATATGTCATTCAGCATCTTATGAAGCGAAAATTATCATGTTTCTACTCAGAACAGGAATGGAATAGGGAAATATTGTGATTTATAGTGCGTTCCATTTACATCAAAATTTTTACTTTTTAAAGGAACAAAATTAAAAGCGTCGCGTAAGCGTGATGAGATTATTTGACAATTTCGACAGTAAACTCTCTCGCGAGGGCAATAAAATGTCTAATTTTGACAAGAAAGAGAACGAAGGAAGTTCAAGTCGGCAGGTTTCTTGGCAACATTTCCGTGGCGGCGGATAAAAGAAATTGCGGAAAAGAGGCGCCGACAATGTATAATCTAATATCGAAGCGTAGATAAAAGCTTGGATTAAAAGCTAGAATTAAATCATTTCGGCCCTAGCGAATCCAGCGCGATATTAATCCACTGGCGCACGTACACGTCGACTCCGTTGCACAGATCCATCCCCCTCAGGCTTTCTGCACCCCCTCTGTCTTCCCCTCGCCGCCCCCGTACCGCCCGGGTTCGCGGAGGTTAGTCGCTTCTCCTGGGGAACCATCCAAGAGCTGTGCTGTAGCGATAGGATGCATGGGGGTTGCAACCCCCGCGCACTGAACGAGGGACGAACGAGAAGCCGGGAGGAAGGGGGAGGGGGAGCACGGCCGTGTAAGGGCGGTTTCACTGCTGCGCAATCGGCACGACGCAGACGTCAGTCGTTATATACCTGGTTCAACGACCACCGCCCTGCTCTCGTCCAACCCCGAAGTGCCCGGCCCGGCTCGAGGGGGATGCACGGAGCGGTCACGGAGGGGAGGAAAACGCACTCGTGACGGGGAGGGTGAAAACGGGGGTGGCGAGAATCGAGGATGCAGGGCAAGCGGTGCGGTAGCGACACCGACGGTGGTTGGGCGAGAAGAGGGTTACGACAAACGGCGCGGCGCGGCGGGGAAGGAACATTGAGAGGATCGTCGGACCAACGAGAGGGGTATGGAAGGAGGGGAGGGGATCTCGCGACTCTCGCGAGCTCATCGGAGCGGCCCACGGGCCAGTTCCGTCTCGAGCCCAGGGGTAGAAGAGCTACTGGCCGCTTGTCTGCTCCCTTCTTTCGCTATAGTTTCATTTCTTTCCGTTTTAGTTCCTCTTCAGTTCCGATTGATTGACATGTACACGTATAATATATAACCGCAAATATATCGGCACACATACTCACACACATACACACACACACGCATATATATATATATATATA